ATTTACATGGTAATAGCTATCGAGATTCCTTAATACATCAATTTTATTCCAACTGACCATATTTCTATCTACATTAAGAATTAAACTACTCTTAGTTATACCTAAATCCTCCAATATCCATCTTATGAACAAAGAATAACATTTTCGAATCATATAGACACATAATATTATCAAATACTATTAAGATATTCAACATTATACATATTGAATATTCTCATTCTTAGGATGAGTAGGTCAGAGTATTTTAATACCATACATATTATCTAAAACTTAAAACCAATTTAATAACTATTTTTGGATAAAAAGAAAAAACATTATTAATAGGTAATAAATGATCATGACGTCATCAATGACTTATAATATTAAAAAAAATATTAGGTATTATCTTTCTTATTAAATATGAAAATATTTTGGTACGACCTAACCCATGCTAAACAGAACCTTACAGAATAGAATAAACGATTTGCATAAAAATATGAAGTTCAACACGGATCGTCAAAATGGTGATCACGTTTTACGTTATAGCGAGAAACAGTATATAATTATAGTTCGGGGGTAAATATATTGTTGAGCTTGTACATTGAAATGTTAAAATTACGGGTTAAAATTTCACGTTGAAATACCACGAGGAAGCCCCGCAGAAATATATTATAAATAATAGCTTTCAAGTTGGTACTGAAAAAAAAAACATTCACATCCGGAATTTTCGCCTCTAAAACTATAGGCACATACGATTTATATTCCTGAAAGGATACGATTCGTATTCACATTTATTTTCATTAAATAAACAATGTTTTAGCCGGCGACTTACATAAATGTTACATTGTAATAAAATAAAATGTAATATTTGAAGACGATATAAAAATGAAATATTCAATTTATTTTATAGTCTTTGACTTTTAAATCAATTTTAAAAGGGACAAATTAAACTTTTAAAGACTCAAGAAACATTGCTGATAGTTTTTCTAAGGATAATAAATTGATGATTTGTGTTCTGAAGTGTGTAAAAAAAACAAATTATAATATTTTAAATTACTTGAAAAACAGATCAATGTTATATTCATTTTAATTGAAATTATCATATAACAGTGGCTTTCAAATCATCATCATATTATTATCAAAATATTAATTAATTACAAACAGTTAAAAATTAAAGATACAATTTAATTATATTTCTTTTATTCTGAGTTCAACATACCTATTTTTCATTCACTTCATAATATATTACAAAATGTGTGTCGACAAGAAATTTTAATTTTCCGTTAAATTGCTGAACTCTTTATTTACAACAAGACTTACTATATATGTCTAATTAATAAATTCTGAAACAGAATATTCTTTATTCTCTAACAATTATTGACGACATACAAAAACCTAATGCCAAACCAACAGTGTCGATAAAGAAAAATGCCTCTCCGATTTCAATACATCGACATTCGGCATATTCAGAATAATGTTTGGTTCATCTTGTAGAATTAAAAATATAGGTGGTCATTGCTTTTTGTTTTTATGTACTTCAATTTATTCGACTAAACTGTGGATAGATTCAAAGAATAGCCCATTCTTATATTCACTATACTTAAACCCGGTATAATTACACTAACTACACTCTGGTTGTCTCGCGTTGGGTTTTTGTCGCACTGCGGACACTATCTGTAGTCGTATGCTTTAGAATACCTATTTTCGTATTTGCTTATTTTTTACTTTAAACTTCTGTTCAACTAGTTATTTCATTTCATACATTTAAGTATATTTTTTAAATCGTTAATAACTACGAATTACGGTCGTTGGTATGATTTTTATAGATTTCCATTAAAGTTGTATTTTATTATAAACGACATTAATTTTGCCATCTCCACTTTACATACACATGGTTCGCCCTTCTACGCGATGACCGTAAAGAAATGTCATTGAAAATTGTCATCGTTTTCATATACTAGCACATTGCAGCTTACAATGAGACGACCCTCCCCCGGGATACATTTGGAGTATTTTTGACACGTCATAATATCCAATATGACAGTGCTCACCATAAAACTACAGTAATTGATTTTAATATCTACTGAAAAATGATTCATCATTATGTTCCGAGAAAGTTTTTACTCATTCTTGACCATTTTGGATTAATAACAACGGCCGTGTTTGTCGTAGGTATGTACTCATCGCACCTCTAGTGTTTTTTAGCACTTCCAGAAGTGCATCCAATTCAACACGCTCTAATTTATATGACATGTTTTTTTACGCATCAGGGTCATCACAGTATAGTAATTTGTCGGCCATTGTTGTTTTAATTATTGTTGTATGTACACTCATTTGTACTATAACACAGGGTGGTTCTTTTGACTTTTCTTTTGTTTAACGAAGACATTTTTTTCACAACCAATTTTTGTGTTTTATAATTTAAAATATTACACCACATCATATCATTAGAAAAGATCAATAAAGTGTATATAATGAATAAAACAATGGTTTGTTTTTAGTTTTTTTAATTTTCTTAAGTGACAGCTCATATTTTTCAATTTTACATTATACACCAAATATTTTCTAAAACTAAAGTCAATGTATAAATAAAAAATTCGATATTATTAATACTTAAACAATCAAATATTATACTCTAAATTATATTAGTCTCCATATTTATATACCTATTATTATTTTTACAATATTTTTTAGTAAATTACGAGCATTTTGTTTCGGAATATTTAATTTAAAAAATAGGTTGTTATACGTTTTCAGCAATCAACAACACAGAAAAACTCAGCACAAAGTTAGATTTTTGTAAACAGAAAATTTATTTACGTACAGTATTTTTTTTATTTTTTTTTGTACACAAACTCGTACACTTATACAAAAGTGTAACATTCAGATATTATTAAGTTTTTATTTATCTACACAGGTACAATAATTTCAAATTATTCAAATTTCTTTGGAATTGAACTTTTGTAAATATTTTATATCATCAATTACCTTTAAAACAAAATACTATGGTTCGCAATCTTACTATTTTATGATGTTAAAATATCAAAGAAGAATAAGTTCAACAATATAGTATAATAATGATAATTTCCGCCTTTCAAGTGATTTGCAATAGCTTGTGTAAGCCACACAATGTGTGGTTAATAAAGTGTGTACTTATAGTCTGTACACGTATTACGTCAAACGATGGACGATATTTATTTGTTTCTATCAGAACATATTGTATTTTAATTGAAATAGTTGGAAAACAATAATTTAAAGGCTATAATGATATCGACATATTATAATGGATAAACCATTCGGTCGTAAAATTAAGTCAAATTACTAAATTCCATTCATATTATTACTCTCGTCAATGTTCACAATGCTTGAATGCTCTAAGTTGTAAAATTTATTTTAAAATAAATATATTATAGGTATATTATTAATATTATCATACTAGAGCAATATATGTTATGTATTAATGTTTTTAAATTAAAAAAATATATGGTTTTTTTTTTTTGCAATAACCTCTTGCAGAAGGACCATTGGAAGAAATATATATTCATATATATAATATAGTCAATTACCTTTATTTTATCGTATCATTAAAATGGGTTAATAAAAATTAATTATTTTGAGAATAAAGATAATATATTATATTTACGTAAATCATTACAACTTAGCAGTCTAATATTTAATTTTTTCATAAAGCGTACATAGGACTTGAATAAAAGTAAGAATTAAGAATTTAATCTTCAAGTTTATAATAGTATTTATCCGCTAAAGAGTATCTAATTGTATCTAAGTACACAGTTTCACAAAACGCAGAGTAAAAGAAGTAAATGATTTAAATTTTTAATATTTATGATTTTGTATTTATTGTCCCTACAGACTGGACTACCACTTACTATACCTACATCCAAATGTAATTCGTGTAAACTACTTTTTGTTTTACAAAAAAAAAAAAAAACACTGGAAAATCTCTAGAGAGACTCAAATCTAATGTTTTTCTTCTTACCCCAGGTTAAATGTAGGTATACAATACCCAGACACAATTTAACTGGCAATAAATCAAATTGGACGCTTACAGTTTTCCACTGAGTTTACCTGCTATGAATTATATATTGTACGTGCGCTGTATACCTATCCCTAGATAAAAATATTATTATATGTGTAGGTACTATAGTAATTTTTTTTTGTTAACATAACTTAATAAGTCTTGTTATATATACTGCAGTGTTATAATAATAAAACAAGATGTATATATATTAAAAATTGTGAGGACTGTATTAAATAAATTATCAGGAAAAAAAAAGATTGGATTGATATTCAGAACAAACAAAAATATTATCGCCATCGATGGCATAGTATGATAATAATACCTACCATAGTAATAATCTATTTTTTTAAGAATCTAACTTGATTTTGGAGACGAAGGAAACCGGTTTTGAACCCTCATAAAAATAATAATAATAATTAACTAATTACCAATTATTTTCATATATTCACCGATAACGATATCTGTTTCTTCTTTTTTTTTCTTTATTTTATAATCGTTGACCTATAATAATGTACAAAGGTAATAAAAAAAAATAATAAATAATGTTTTTAATACGCATGCGCGCTCCCTTATTTATTCGATCGATGAGATCGACATCTCTAACTCCAATCGTTCAGTCGTTTGTTGTATAGCATTACTAACAGATCTAATTTTTTTTCTCAATTGTTAATTAAATATATTATTTCATAATATAAGAGTAATAAGAGGTGCATCGTTTTCCATTGTGAAAATCGTTCAAATTGCATTCAGGCAATTTCATCGTATGCAATTCCAAATAGAGGAGAGAGGTATTTAATAACACCTAATACTTAATAATTGTAATAAATAATTCTATAAAGTGTACCCACCTAATGATTTAAATATTTAAAGGTTAATACAATGGCTTAATAGTTGCAACAGGACCGATTTATTGGAACGCGAAAACAATATTCGTACGAATAATCAAAACTTTATAGTGTGCAATTCTCACTTTGAAACCAATATGTTTTTTACTACACAGCGTAAGAGGTTAAGACCAAATGCTGAACCCACATTATTTGGTATGTGGTATATATTCATTATTAAATAATATATCTGTTTATTATACTTCGCCTATGTTTCACTACTATTTATTATTATAAATGCATATACTTTAGGTGATATACTGTTCAAGTGCGTAAAATTCAGGTCTGCCTATTTATACCAACCTAAGCATCCATATTATGACGACGATGATGTTTGTATCGGTGTAATGGATGTAATTTGTCAATATTGCAATGCAATGAAATTCAAAGGTAGTTTATTAGTGTATACATTTTTAGAATTTTAAGTCCAAAGAATAGTCTTATGTTTTTAAATTAAATTATAAAAAAATAATTTCTTCCGGAGGAAGATCGGGCAGCTAGTAATATTATAATACTTGATTGTAATTTCATACTTCCACTTAACATCTAACCGACAGAAAATAATTTGGCTCCGACGGTAAAGCTCGGGTGTGTATAGATGTATATTATACAGTGTAATATTATTGTATAATGTGTATAGACTTTATCGATTGAAACCAAAGAAAACAGTGCATTTTATTTGTCGTTCATAACGGTTATTTACCACTAAATAAACTCGTTGAAATTTAATTGGATCATATGGATTACGCGCAAACCATAATATTCAACTTATTTATATGTACGTATATATGTAGGTACTATTATTATGTGTCAGTATAATGACACACGAATATAACTCGATCGCCTCTATAATATTATATTATTATTTTTTTGTCACGATTTGTTTTTTTTACTTGGTCATTACTTCGCACCCGCCCTTGGAGATACTGCAAAATTGACGTTTTGTATCTCCGCAATATCCGCACTCAGACAGTATATAATAATATCACGAACGAGCTTTTTTTTTTTTTTATTCGGACGCCGATGCGACGATAATTAAAATTGGCTTTGCGCAATTTTCCGCCGATTTCCCGTGAAAGCTACTGCACTAGGCGCGATTCACCAATCACGCTCAATCCCTTTATCCCATATCCTTTAATAATGTGTTTTTTCAAATACTCATTTTTGGAATATCGAAGTTTACTCCTTGAATACCATATTGTCAAATGATTATATAGGTACCTACCTATATTTTAAACCATTAAATTAAAGAACATCCTGTGGTGATATTATGGAGTTTTTTTCAAATTTGGACCAGTTATTAAGTTTTATATATTAGGGATAAAATAGTCCTTATAGTATTGGTTCATAATTTACATAGAAAATAAAATACACAAAATATTATTCTAGACCTACATAGTATACTTCGACGGTCAGTGGTCACACATAATCATTTATTTTAAATTATAAAATTGTAATATTAATTACTATTTTTAAATGAACGTTGCTTTCATATTACTATCTTCTAATATATTATCATGGACCATAACTACATCAAAACTAAAATTTAGTTTAATTATTCAGAAATTACTCATCACAGATCACAGTTTAATCGAAGTACCTAAAATATAACATATTTCATAATGTAAGTTAAAATTTTCAAAATAATCATATTCTTACTAATTTAGTAATTTACATTAAAAATGGGTGATTTTAATTTGAAAAATAGTATTTTGTATATACAAATCAAAGTATTATTAAAAATGTGGTCATTAAAAAGTAGGTGTACCTACTTAACAAATCTAAAGATCATAATGTGAACATTTTCATTGCTAATGGAAAAAACAGGGATGAGCATGATTGGTGAACCACCCTGCACATACATATAAGCATAATATACCGTCTCTCCATAATTTCGATTTTCATTTGCTTTACCGCCGGAATCTATACGAAATCTGCACGCTCCGGTATTTTATAATGGACTTTTTTTGAAATTGCAGTTTACTTATTCCATTATCTGCTGTAGCACCCCTCGCTTATATTATATTTATATTGTTTTGCTATATTTAATATATATAGTGTACACATTTTTCCGTTTTCCCCGCCGCCGTCGTTGTTCCTCGTCGAAACGGCTTCTACTCGAACAACGCATATACGAATGATAAATGACAGAGCTGGTAATATCGAACAAGACTTCATTTCACGGTCTACGGCGTTTTCCTTTGGGGAGAAAAAGCGGTGGTTGGCGGTTGCGGTGGTGCAGGCGGCTGTGATGGCGGCAAATTTGTCACAAAACGATTAGAAAACAGCTTGTGCGAGCATTGTTTGACCTCCCCCTCCTCCTGCGAAGGTCGCGCGAGGTAATATATCATATATAGGTAGCTAGTACTATATACATATACATAATATTATTCCTCCGAAGCAACTCGGCTGCCTCCGTAGTCGGTTGCGGGAAATTATGATTAATTTCTTCGTCCCCACACCACCACCGCCATCGTCGCGGTATTTTTGACCGTTAATATTCGTCTTCGCATTGTATTCGCTGCTTAATGGGTGCACGGGCCCTGCTCCGGCGGCGCTTAATGGACACCACCAATAGTGCTCTATGGTAATAATAATAATAGTAATTTGAGGCCGTCCGCTTTGTCCTCGTCATTATACCTGTATACCCACCCGCACCTCCTCACAATATTATTATTATTTCGCGGTTGGTCCGCGGGGTGGAAGAAAAAAGGATGGACAAAAAAAAAAAGCACAAAACAAAAAAGAAACTATTTTAATACACAAATTGTTGCGACCATTTTTCCGCAAGCCGAACAACACGCGCGGCTTCGCCACGCCATAACCTGCGCCCGGTCGTTTTTCACTTCCGCGAGGAAACCCGGAAACCCTTTGCGCAGCGGTCGTCCGAGCAGTATATACGCGGTGCGAGTGAGTTTGGCTATTCGCCACCGGAGCACAATGCAAATCCGCGCGATATCGCTTTGAATTATTGCTGCCTATCGCGTCATTCGAGCGCCGTTCCGCGAACAACGGATCCTCGTCCTACTAAAACCAGGAAACTTCATTGTCAATATTATAATATAATATATTATTATTATATATGTTTAGCTGTAATAGGCACCTGCGTATATTACAATATACGCCGACGGAAGTTATTATAATATATGCCATTGCAGCCTTTGTTTTGCATGGTTTTTTTTTTTACATTTTGTTTCCATCGGTAAATATACACATTATTTTTTTTTTATTTCACATATTATAATGACAGTAAAATACAAACGATATATTTAACACTGGAGCTGAGCGGAATGTCATATTACTGTACCTACTTTTAATTCCAGCTGCAATAAACAAGGAGAAATTCCCTACACAAACATATTTTGACTTTGAGCGTACTGCCATTGCTATGTGCAGCTATTAATATTATAGGTACAGCATATTTTATAGTAATAATATTATTATGTCGTTACGAATTTCGTCACGCCTTAAATTTGCACGTCGACTGTACCTAACTGCAATGGCCGTTGCTGAGAATATTCTATAAGGTCTTTTCGGTAATTTAACGGGCAGGCGGATAGAGGACACAATAAAATCTGCGAGTATAGTTTTATACCTAAAATATGCTTTTTTTTTTATCGATCAATACATTTCAGCAACATTGGCTATAATATTAGCTAGGTATATATTGTATATTATGGAAAATCTACACAATATTATTTGTTTATTTACAGTAATAACTATTTCTTAATTTCTAAATTAGTCAATAAGAAATCTGTCTGTAACGATTATTCAGAATCGGTATACGTCTTTTGTTGTTTGTCGCTTCAATTTGTCGTCCCGAAATATGTTTTATTTATGCATAATTTTGTACTTCGGATGATATAGTTGTGATTTTTATTTCATCTAAATGTATATCAGACTATAATATTATCACAGTTTTATTATTATAACGATAAACATAAATATTATGTATCATCATTTAAGTTAATACCAATTTATTTTAATTTTAAATGTCAATTGATTACAATGATATTCAATGATTTTAAATATTTTTTTATTTAAAGAAACCAACTATCAATAACGATTATATTTTACTAGAACTGTGTTCAGCTCAAATAGCACACGTTATGAAACATGCATAATTATAAACTTTGTTTAGTTGAAATAAAACTAAATTTTAATCGCTTATTGCTTTAAAATATATATTGACGAGCTTTGAACAGAATATAAAATATAATATTGAGCTCGCCATTTACAGCGATTTGTTAAAATAAAATGTCGTTTTCGATATTTTGAAATGACAATGGAGCAACATCATCGGGATTACATTAGGAATTTATCGTTTAATGATTAATTAATCGGAATAATTAATTTTAAAACAAAATACACCTAGGCTATATATGCAATATCAGCCTTTGTCCTCCACTAATGACAGCGACATTGTTAAACATCTGTTTTTTTTTTTATTCAATTATTTAGAATGCAGAAGATAATAATACATATATGTTGATCTGATGTGTTTTAATAATTAATAATAATTTCTAATTCTACTCTGACGTATATTGTATAATGTGTTACATTCAAAATAAATTCGTTATTTCGTGTTTATTACATGTACCTATATTACTGTATTGTGAATCCTTCGGATATGACGTAACTTAATATTATTAAGTATAAAACTTCAATAAAAAAAAGTTTAGTTTTTAATTTAGCAATCCATGGGGCTTATATAGTACCTACATTTTTGTCTGGTTTTTAATATTTATGTTTGTACCGACATTTTTGACAGCATAACAGCAGCAGCTGTCCAAAAACATCTTTGGTCTTATATTTTACTTTTAGGATACTATTATAGTCATATTATAGAATAAAACTTTGTCAATTTAAAAAAAAAAATATATTTGGTGAAAATAATATGGAAAACGGAAAAAATTTGATAAATCGATATTGAGCCACAAGCTGTTTGTAATATTATCATTAAAAATAAATTAGGTTCAATAATCAGATTATGAAATGTGTTAACAAAAGTCGACCTCCGAATATATTATTAAAACAATAATACAAATTTGTGATTTAAAGAAATTATCAATAGCTGTGATAGTAGGTTTTAAGTAACAAATATAAAATTGTAACTAATATATTATGAAGAAAAAAAAATTATTCATAAAATGTGATTCGATAAAGGTATTTTTTTCCTTATGATTTTCAAAAGCTATCATGTCTAAATGCTGTCACTCGGAACACATCATCAATTCACAATACTGAAAGAAAACAGAAAATTAATTTGGCAATATTTCATAATATTAAATTTCACAAATTATTGATCAGAAAAAGTTTGAATTAAACTCCTCGTAAATTAAATTATAATATAATACCATCGTGGAACATTATTCGACATCTGTTGTTGATTTCTTTTAAGTTTAGACAACAAGAATTTTGTCCA